TTGTTTTTCTCTTCAGCAGATGACTTGTAAATCCAAATATGATGTCGGAGTCAACGAATATTGTACCCAGGTCTATGACGCTGGGGTTGGGTTGCCCAGCTCCGGGCGACCCCGATGAGTTTGGCAAAGCCATGTGGGCTGCGAGTTAAGCCTAGAAAATATTCCACTCCTCGGGATACCTATTTGATTTGTATATCCATCTAACTCATTTCCCTCATACCCTCCAAAAAGATCCACCAGGTTTTTTAATCCGGACATCCAGTGACTCACGGTGAGCGCTGTGGGCACGTGTGCGTAAAATAACCTCTCAGGTTTCCAGTAGTCCGAGAAGACAATAGAGCAATACAATCCATCCGACATGCAAAACGGTTCACGTCCAAGTGAAATACTTTTCTAAGACATCCCGAGGCTGGTCATGGCTGATCTCTGAGCAGCTGCAGGTCTGAGAGTGAAAAGAGCACCTTGTGCAAGTGCTGCTCTCTGTTCTCCAGCCTCTCTCCCTCTTACACTCCCGTTTCCCCCCCTCCCTCTCTCTCTCTCTCTGACTCCCGCTTCTCCCCTCTCTCTCTCTCACTCCCCCCCCCCCCCCCCTGTCAGACAGTGATGACCTGCTCTCCCTCCCGATTTGCTGGTGCGTCGTTGTCAGCCCCCCACACGAAGATGTAAAACACAATGACAGCCTTGGCCATAACCCCTAACGACACATTCCCTGTAATATTCCTGTAATATTCATGTCCGTATGTGGCACGCAATAATGACCTCATCATGGCTTTATGTCTTTCTCCTACATAATATTCCTGCGTGATGTACTATAAAGTATACTGTATATGTTTATAGAGTTGCTTTATAACATTGCATTTTTCACATGGAACATCATAGGACACACTTGATTTCTTATTGATGATGAAGACCAACTGTTTTTCCAATTCAAATAAAACTGATTTGATTTGTATTGATTTTGATATACTTTATTGCAGGCCATATCAAAATAGAATCACACAAAATGTGCTTCCACTGAATAAACTCTTTTGTGACCTCTTAACTTGATAATTTAACCTTAATCCTATTGACTGGGGTCCCCGTCGACCCTTGAGATAAACTTTCTGTCATATCTCACAGGCGCTTCATTCTGTCACTCCAACCAATGTGTTCCTATTCCTATGATGTTTGTTTCTTATGGTACTTTATTCAGTCCCTGTATGTTAAGTTTGTTGGTTGAATGAGGGTTAAGGTAGCCTATGTGTAGCCATTGATGCTAAATAATGTGTCTAGTGTCTGAAATTCATGATTGCTAATCAATATCCAATGAATGGCCTTCAACATATCTATCAGGCTGAGGCTCCCATAGATTGAAGGACTGAGTGGATAGCCATTAGTCGATGTAATAGTCTGACTGTGCAGCATTAAAGAAAATGTGAACAACTGTGTTTTTGATATGGAAAGCTCAATCTAAATCAGAACTGACAGATCATTCTGTCAGCTCAGTTGAACCAGTTTCTCCTGAAGCTCAACATCCCCATGGAGTCGCTCCGCAGAGGGTGAACAGTGGGGCAAAATATGACAGAGCTATTACTGAGATATCTTTTCTGAGCTGGAGAATGCACTCAAATAAAGTAGCTCATGTTAATTGTGACAACTGAAACAAAAAACTGTATGAATCAATGTTGTTCCACATTTGTGGGATTCAGTATTGCACTCCCTTAATGCCGGAGGACTCCAAAGAGACAGATTTTTAAAAATGTTCAAAATCTCAGCAGCAGAGCAGATATCCTGACTTTTAGTTCCTATTTGGCCAGGCTCCAAAAACACTAGATCCTACATCTCCCATAATGCATTAGAACGTTCCTGCTTGCCCCCAAATGCCCACCTCTTACAAACCCAATGCCCTCAGATTGTAACACAGTTTCTGTTAAAAGTGCATAGTGTCCAAGTACAAGCTTGATATCACTGTGGAATCCTGCCTCCAGAGCCACAGTAGACGCACTGTTTTCACAGGTTGACTGTAACGTTGATGGAGCACCTCTTTAACTGAAAGAAAACATAGTGGAATAGCTAAAGGGGAAATACATTTAGGGTGGATTTTTACTTGAATCATTTGACACTTATGATCACGAGGCTGAGTTCAGTTGGCTGTAAAAAAAAGAAAATTAGTTAAACTTCATGTAGTTCAATGTTTCCGTTGCAGGTCAGTGGGACAGAATTCAAAAAGTTTGATGTGCTTTTACAGCATTTTTTTTTTTTTATCTGGTCAGAGATGATTTATAAAGAATGAAGATTTTAAACTCACTCAACAACAACAGCCGAGCAGAGGGGGATACATAATAAATATTTGTAGGGATGAATAAATTATTTTTTGATCCCACAAGCACCTCGCAATCAACGCGACTCATCACGCCCTAGTCTCACTTACACACACACTTACACACACACCCACACACGCGCGCGCACACTTTTTTGTGAGAGGGGAGAGGCAGAGGGTTTGTCAGCAGACCGATAATTACAATCCATAGTAAAGATGATTTACCACGTCCGTCACCCAGCCCTCCCCGGTGGAGGAGGTTGGGTCTCCCCCGGCCGCTGATGAAATTCCAAGGACGGGATCCCCTGGGACTGCATGTGCTACATCTGCTGCCCTTGCGGACGCACAGGGGAATCGCTCTGGGCCTCTCATTAATGCCTCTCTTATGTCTTATCCCCCTTGCCCGCGAGACCCTCAGTCTGCGGCTTCTCCCGGTGCACGGACAGCCTTTGTGAGAAACGTTTAGCAAATATTGATAGTTCTTGGCGCATGGAGGAGATCAAAGGGAAAAGTAGAAGGGGGCTGTCTAAAAGGAGACTCGGAATAATCGGTGCAGAGTGCTCTCATGAATTATTGATGCAGCATAAAGTAGCCTATACATTGGGGAAAAAAGGCACCCGGATTTTCTTGTGTCAGAGTTGGAGTCTTTAGGTCTGGTTTTCCCACCAAACTTAATTAAAAAATAAAAGCTCTGAATGGAAACATGAGTGTTTGGAATTTAATGAAGGCATTCACAGTCTAAGAGAGTCCAGCTTCGGACTAATAAGTACTTAAATAATCAGTGTAACAGAGAACAAAAGTCCAGGAAATTGGTCATTTACAATACTATACTACAAAGTCGATATACTGGTTGGCCTACTTAGCTTGAGTATTTCCATTTTATATAACTTTACTTATACTCCACTATATTTGTCTGACAGCTGTAACGAGTTACTTTCAGATTACGATTTTTCAAAGCCCTCCTGTCCAGTGAAAAGCACGAATCTCCAAGTTTGGTGACTTTGAAATAGAATTTTATTGCTAAATTGAAGGATGAAGTGTTCCTAAAAGTACATAAAGTAATTAAAATTAGCACAACCATACACATCCACAGCAGTAAAATGGAACATACACATAAATGCAGCAGTAATAACAATACCAAAACATTAACAAGGGACCCTTTAAGTGAGTACTTTTACTCTTTGTACTTAAAGTAAATTGCTGATTATACTTACACACTTTTACTGAAGTACGGTTGTGTTTTCCCAGTGTGGTATTAGTAATTTTACTTCTTAAAGAATCTGAATACTACTTCCACTGCCCATGTATAATCATTAACATACATTGAATAAAAAATATACATAATTTAATAATAATAATTTGAAAATTAGATGTCCTTGATGCACTGATTTTGCAGCAAGTTTCAGTACTTTGGACAGCGCCATCCTTGCAGACAGTCTTCACGGACTCAACAGAGGCAAATGATTCTTTATTGACTTGTTTTAATCAGTACCTCTCAATAGTGACAACAGTAAGGCAGCAAAAAGACGGGTGTTACTGCAGCAGCAGAGCTGTTAAAAATGTGTATGTGTGCCAGCAGAATTAAATTACTGAAGCCTGGAGATTTTTACAGCCCCCTAAGGTTCCTGGACTGCAGTTGGCATTGTAACACAAGGGGGCACAATGGGAGTAGAAGACAGAGAGAGACATTAAGGAAACAGTGGAAATCACAAGGTTGTTCTAAAACTATTCATAGTCAGGCCTTGAGAGAGGTTTTCCTTGTTAAAGATCGACTCAAAGGCAGCATTTTCCCTAAACTGGCAGCATTTGTCTGACTGGTCAAGTGGTCCTAAACATTTCACAATTTTCTCAAAGAACTGTTGAACTGTTGAGAACCACTTAATCAGAGGGACCACAGGCTTCTTCAGGGAAAAGTCTTTCCTTCAAACTGTTGATTCCACTATTGAAAGAACAAAAAAAAAAAAACAGCAGCTAGAGTTAGTTTCCTGAAATGATCTGCTGCTGGTAGTAAATGCATCAGTACGAAGAAAATGTACCTACACAAGCGGCAAACTGCAAGCTCTCTGTAAGCGTGCTTACCTGGAGAAGGTGAACTCTGTCCTCGCAGCGGTGCTTCCTTGGTGCCATCCCAGCCCGACTGAGTGAATGCAGAGTCAACTGCTTTTTATATACTGTTTTGGGGCTAGGTTCATACAAGCCTCTCATTCAGGCAGGAATGAGGCCCATGCTGGTCCGACCGGCTGAGCTGGGTTCCACCAGCAAGGAGCTTGACGGGCAGCCGCCCTCTACACAGAGATAGCAAATACCAGCCACTGCAGGCTGAGAAGTCACATGGACATAAAGCATTTGTATGTCATCTTTGTCTTCCAAGTTTGTCTCATTTCCGTCTGATTTATCTCAGTGAAAAGTCAGACAGAAAGCGTCACGTTTGGGTTTGATGTATTTCTCCTAAAGGCCGACTGCAACCACAATGAATCCAATTATTATTCAGAACACATTTCTTGAGAGAACACAAAGGGACTCTGCGCACTAAGAGAAATGAGCTTCAACAATTGGTTAGACCCGCGCTAACTCATATAGAAAACCATGTCAAATTGGAAATTGCTCAGGAGTCCTTAGCCAGGAGCAGTATAAGCACAGTTTCATGTGAGTTTCAGTGTTCGGAGCAACTCAGAAGCAATCACAGGAGACGATGTTTTGAAAGAAAAGATTTATTTCCGTTGCTTTTATTTCCACAGAAGACCACCGAATCCCTTTTTCTCTCTCTCTCACACACACACACACAGAGAGACACCCTTTTTGAATATATCAATGGGACAGTAACATTTCAACATTTGCACTTCAAAGTCCCATTAATCACAGAAGATTCCCTGACAGATGTTAACATGACAGTGTAAACTACACGGACCAAGATTGATTTATTAACTTTTCCAAATCAAACAAGTGTAGCGATGTTTGAAATTGTTTGTCACACAATAAAAATAAGGAAAGTACATTAAGCCATTTGTCTGTGATCGTGGACGCAAAGAATACAAGTTGACATCAAAATGAATGAGAACACAGACACAACAGTCTGAATTTTCCTTTTTCCATTTCAGAGTGAGATATGCGAATCTTCCATCTTGCTAGTCAGTGCAAGAAACAGGCTGGATGAGTCTGGAAGATAACTGCAGGTCTTTGTAGTACCTGTTTGAGCAACAGGAAGTACTCTGCTTCAGAGCCAGTGGACAAGGGCTATAGTTGAATAACATCACAGATAATAAAAAGATATGTTCATTAGTTTACTTCAAACTTTGCAGCATTTCACTGTAAAAATAACCATAAAAATAAAATCTGTAAGTGTACCCTGTACTTTCAGATATCCTGAATATATTGCTATATTATCTTATGACGTAACATTACTGTAGTCAAGAGTTCTGTAACTCTTTTAGTACATATAACAACATGATGTAATGGGAGGTTTCAGCATTCTCCATGTTAAAACAGCTCAGGTGAAGTTCACCCTCAATCCCTGATTGGACATTTTCATACATATACTACTGTGCAACAACAACACATCTGCATACATGTAGTGCTGCCCTTTTTGTTCACCTTGCACTCAAAGTAGTGCTTACACAAAGTTGTGCTATGAATGGGTTTGGAGGGAAACACTGTAAGAAAGTATGACAATCCAACATGCAAAGTCACAGTCGCTCTGTGAAGTATAGAACAGTGCTGTGGACGGTGTGAAGAGGACGGCTTGGGGGAGGGACGTGGATGCTGAAGGAGGACGATTCCTGTTGGTCGAGACAACGTCAGCTCACAGTCCTGTCGGGGTGGCTGTAAACTCAATCACTCCGCTCTTCCACGGAGAGACAAAAAGAGGACAGGATTAACAGGAAGCACTGGGGAGGTGAAAGATGTTTTGGTGCTCTTGATTACTAGTGTGTGCACACACACACACACACACACACACACACACACACACACACACACAC